GATAAATAGTTGAATCTGTCACATTAAATAACGGAGACATCCATTAGATAGAAAATATCTAAGGAACAATCCATCTTCCTAGAAACTAAAACCTAATGAAAATAAGTAAACATTTAAATCAGCTCATTTGATAAACTAATTGATTTGGCTCTCCTACCCTTTCCTGGTGGCCACCAGCAGCAGATCATTAAAGAGGAACAGAAGTACAGGACACAGTTTTCTCTGGCCAAACATGTTTTCCTTCAACAAGATTTGCACCAGATCTCCCTGCTTCACAAGCCAGCGGGAGGAAGACACAAGAGCCAGGGCCTGAGAGAGACAGAAAGATCCAAAGACATCGATGAAAAGAGTGAATTACACATTACAAAATGTATATGTAAACAGTTTCCCAGCGACCACCTGCAGCTACAGTACCTTGCATGCAAACTCAATCTTGTTAGCAATCTGCACTATTTCTTCCATCTGTTTCATTCTGCCCACCTGCCAGTTGCAAGCTTCTAGAAGCTGTAGGTGAAGACAGCACAAAGCATACAACATAATGCAGCAAACTGATTTTTATACAATAGCAGTCATTGAGAAAATGTTTAGCAGCCAGCTTGGCATTCATACCCTGGAGATCTCCGTCAGAGCTCTCAATGCTGAGGCCTCACAGTCTGACCTTGGAACGGCCTTCTTCTGGATATTCTGCATTGCATCGAAATGTTTGACATATTCAGTGATGTAACATTTAAAAACAATTAAACATTCTCATGCTAATTATGCTAGTGCTTCTCATCACTCACCTCCATTAGGATTTTAAGCCGTGTGATTCTCTGAAATGGCAGTGAAAGGAAAGATTTGAGGGGAAGGCGGTTGCATCGAGGGTCTTCCTGTAGTTTATGCAAGATCTCCACAATCTGAGGACTCTCTTTTCTGATCACAGTACAACATAGATTATAAATATATTAGATTTTCAACAACAGACACTTTATTCATAAACATCTGTAGAATACAGTCAAACCGATTTGCATTCCTAATATGCATGATAAATTAACATCAAGAACTATTCTTTTACCCAAGGTTGTGTAATGTCTGCTCCTGATAGGGCATATTACGGATGTAATTTATATAAGCATCAAAGGGTCCAAGAGCATATTGGTGTACAACATCACAGATTATGTCGCAGAACACACTTGAGGCCAGCTCCAACAGCATCGCATCCATGAAGCTAAGAAAAGAGTTTGCATAAGATATAAGGTAAGTATTTGGACACTTAAAGGCACAATATGTAATTTTCGCCGCTAGAGGGCGCAT